CCCCAAAACCCCAAAACCCCAAAACCCCAAAACCCCAAAACCCCTTTAATATAAAATAAAGTTGAAGCTAAATCTGTTTTTGATACAATTTCTTAATTTTAGCGTCCGATTCTCAACTTCTCGAAATGATCATTCAGAATTTTGTACTTGAGCATCTCTGCATCTTCACTAGCAGAAGCATAGATCTTGCTTGCTGAAGACTTTGATCTAGCTTTCCTGTTGAGTATGGTTGATCTAGTCTGATTCAATATTTTGAAATCCGCCATTTCGAAATCATTCTTGAAACTTCCAAATCGAGTAATGTCATCTGTGGTTTCATCCTTCCCTAAGAAGTTAATTATTGAGTTTGTTTTCCTAATGTCAATTGAAGGCTGGGAGAGGGTCGCTCTTTGTACACTTGTATTTGAAAATATTGGCTTCTTCTCAATTGCTCTTTTGGCTCTAAGGAAGGTTCAACTATAGAAAACTACCGCAGCTTCTTTGTTAACTCAAATACTCTTGAATTTTGTGTGATAGACAAGTCCTTTTTAATATATGATTGTGGCATCTTGATTGGCCTGCAATGGAAACTGGGTTGGCTCATAACTCTCTGTGATTTTTCATTTTTGATACTATTCATAGTCTTCTCAATCTGTCCTTCAAAGTCATCATCTATGGATAATTCAGTTACTTACCTCTACCTCTGACTGTATTGAGTGTGAGAGCATTATTAACGATCATTTCCTTCTGTCTCTTCATAGTTGTGTCAATAACTTTGAGCATTTTCTCAGTTTCTCTTTTACTTTTATCCTTAATTACGCCTAAAATAATTATTCCCACAAAATACTTCTGTGCTTTGCCATTTTGATAACCTTATTCTGCCTTGTGAGTAGATTATTCGTATTCTTAGGAGCTGGCATATCCTTGAGCATATCAATCTTTTTATCCTTAACTAGAAGATTATGGGTTATGCTCACAGTAAGGCACTTTGAGGTCTTCGATAGAGGACTTATACCTCCTATGTGTAAAGGGCGTCTCTGCAAATTTATGCTGAGGTGTCAGATCCGTTAGGTATTTATTTCTGATTCCTCTCATAGATCAGTTGAGAAAGATGAGGGGTAGATTGCAAATTCTGCATCATTATTAAATCTCTAGTCTTCTCTAGAGTTCCTATTTGGTTTTATTAAAAATTTACCTAGTTTGGATTTGGATTTCATTGGCTCAATAGTATTAGATGGCATTTTAGGGTTTAACAACTTTTCAGTGATATTCAGTGGCTTATTAGAGTCGTCTACAAAGCTTGAGTGCATCACACTGTCCTCCCTCAACTCTTTGAGATTAATATTTGTCGTATATTGATAAGAAAATTCATCAAGAAGATTAAATGGCTTGATTCTCTTGATAGCAATCTAGAATTAAAGCCTAGGACATACATATTTTTCATAACTCTGGATCAGTTCTCTCATTTTATCTGGAGTTTTGTTCAGTGTATGAGCATCAGTCATAAAAATGTACTTATCACGTTTAATTTCAGAGAGATATTTTATCTTCCGGCCATCTTGAGCTCGTAACAAAAACTTTGGCTTAACCTTGCCCATGGTCTTGAATCAGATATCTGCTATAAGTGCCTTAAGAATGTTATCGTTCTCTACATTGAGAAGTTGGGAGGTTTTCTAGATTTTTAGACATTAATCAATACCAAAAGCCGCTGGGTAATCTTCAAATCATCTTCTTTATCTCTAGTCGTGATATTCTTGTAACCTAACGGAGACAGATTCTTTGATTGCTTATCGAAAGTTGCAAGAATTTCTTCAAATTCATCATATTTATTTCTTCTTTTTTGGAGGGTTAAACAGATCCTCGAATCTTGTTAATGCGTCATTCATGTTTTGGTTTATTTCTGAAACTTCTTCAGCTTTGTGATATTTTGGAATGATTACATCATAGTTATAAATTTTATGAAAATTTCCTTTATTTGATTATAATAACCTAAGGGATATTGATGCGAACAAGGTACCTTTAAAGTCCTCAGTTTGGAAACTAGAGCGTTGTCAACGATTCTTTGTTGATTAACTACTTCATGATCTATTTCACGCTTTTTTCTGCGCCTTATAGCTTCTGGCTCATACATCTTATTTTATTCAATATTTATATCAAATTTAGGGGTTTTGGGGTTTTGGGGTTTTGGGGTTTTGGGGTTTTGGGG